GCCGTCCCTTCCTCACATTTTTCCCTGTTTTCCCTGGTTTTCCCTCTTTCATCCTTGCCCTTCCGCCTCCTGAACATTTCCCTTGGCCAACCGCCCACCGCATGTGCGTATTTGCATGGAGCAGCGGCGAGTTTAAGACCGTTTGTTGTGAGTCTTGTTTATGCTGCAAGAGTGTGTGAGTGTACACTGCACAAAACCTTAACATACTTTTATTATAAGCCACCTCAAGACTTTCTAAACTATGGATTTATTTAAATTTTATTAACATAATTAATTATAAATGATTACTAATTATTAACTGTCAATTATCTCAAAAAATTCATAAGTAAAAAATGAACATAAATAAATAGGAATATGCTTAAGCAGTAAAAATTACGTACCTTTGCTTAAAAAATGAACAAAATCTTAAGAAAGTCTTTCTAACTTTTTATTCAATTTTCTCTTTAATATTATTGCCCGCCTTTTTCTCCAGTGCACAGCCCTGTGTGGTTTTGTATATGTCTGCTGGCTTAAGCTAACTTTAAATTACGCTTAGCGACTGAAATTAATTTACGCAACGCCACGAGCACCGAAACAACAAAACATTGCCGGCAAATGTGCAAATGTGTCGAGTGGAGGGGGCCAAAACCGCGCCTGGATGACCAGGGGCGTGGTTAGAAGGGGGAGGGCGGACTAAGCCTCTTTTGGGGCTTGCACATTCCATTGGGCAAATCTGCAAAATCTGTGTCCTAGGTCGTAAAGTCATTTAATGCGCCGCGCCAAGTGGAAATCATTAAATGCGCTCGTTGAAAGGGGTATTTGATATATCGGAATCGAGTTGGCTGGAGTTGTGTCAGGTTCTGGACAGCTCGTGACGGCTGAAAAACCACACTTGGATTCCAGATTAATTGTGGATTGTTCGTGATTGATTTATAGTCGTTTTGAAAGGTTATGGGTGCTTTTAAGTTTGTCCAACAAAGTATATTGGATTTATTTAAGTTCAAGGCAAGGTAAATAGAATATTGCAGAATATTATATCCTGCTTAATAGTTTTATTAATAACAAAATGTGTTAGTGTTTAGTAATTGTTTATATACTTTCCTTCAATTGAGACATGTATATCAACGTTTACAGAGAAGTCATTGATTTTGCCCCCTTTTTTGACCACTTGACTATTTGACCAGCTAATTTCCAATAAGTTTTGGGAATCAATCAAATTTCGAAACGGCCGTGCTCCATCAATGGGACTCAGACTACGGGGATTGATGGATGGATTGAATTGGGATTGGTTCGTTCCTCAACTCACTGACCATCGGCCGATTCATTGCTCTTATCTTTTTGCGGTTCCCCCGCCCGAAAATTGTCATTTTGATGACCTTAACAACCTCGAATGTTGCCCAAACCCGCATTTTATTTGCGCCGCTGCCTGTTTGTTGAATGATATTGGAATTTTGCGTGGTGCTCGCCCCTTGTTGTTTAAGTGCCGCAAACATTTTGCTACTGGAGCGTGCAAAACAATCAAAAAATTTGCTTTTCACTGAACAGATAGCAAAATACACAGCGCAGAAAATAAAAATAAAAGCGGAGAACGTGAAGAATGAAAAAAAACCGAAGCATCCGGAACATCAGTAGGAGGCATTTTTCAATTGTGTTAAAAGAAATTTAATATGAAACTCATGCTGTCTATCGATTTTTAATTTTGATTTGCTACAGCCCAATGGAGTCTTTGTTGTGGTTCCTCGCCGTGGCAAAATTTTGAAACTCCCATGGGAAAAAAGGAATCGAAAGGCTAAAATGGCTTACCGTTTTTATTTTTTGCGGTATTTATTTTAAAGACTGATTGATTTTGGCTGGCATTGTATTCAAAAAGTTTATTAAATTGAAATGCAACCATTTGAACAACATAATTGTTTACTTTGTTTTTGTGTTTGTTTTAATTGTAACTGAAAGTTTCAATTATTTGTAAATTAGATCAAACTAGGTTTAAAGTTTTTTTTTGAACCGGATGATTTGAATCTATTGATCCTTTTAATAAAAACATTTTATAAGCTTTAATTGCGTTTGAAAATTCTTTATAACTTGTAACTTGTAAACTTGTCCATTACTAGTTTATTTATAATTTATTTAACAATTTTTAACTATCTTTAATTGGGACGTATCCCAATTTTTTATTTAATATATTTTATATCCTACGCAAAGAGTATCTGATATATTCGTTGATTTCAAGCCAGCCCGTGTTTTTACTTGTTTGTATATATAAATGTGGGCTGCGACTCAGCTGACACATTTCGCATTTTGGGTGATGGATGTGCGGCAATAATTTCTGCTATTTATGCAAACGTAGCTTGTTGTTGTCAATAGATGGTCCTAAGTTCCCCGGTTTTCCCAGGATGTTTGCCTTTTATGCGGGTCAACGTTTAACCTTTACCTTGCCGACAGACATACATCAAAATACGCAGATCAAATGCTGACTTTTTGGGGCCTGGAAACGGCAACACGTGTGTTGTTTCCAACCCGATGCGACATGTATCGGAGATATGGAAATACATATATTTTATATGAATGTGGGGGCTCTCCACTTATGCAAATTGAAATGCAAATAAGCCATGCCGACTGTATAGGCGTTTTATGTTCAAATCTTCCCAAAAGTCGACTGCCTTTTGTGTTTCGTATTTCGTATTTCGTATCTGTGTATTTTGTATTTTGTTATGGCACGCTTTATTGAATTCATTTAAAAAACAATTTATCTTTTTGGCTGCTTTAGGGAAACTTCTGGGGCAGCTAACAGGCATTTTTTTTCGCTTTGTTGTTGGCAAAAAAGCGAAAACTTGGAAAAATCGGGCAGAGTAGCAGCGCCTTTTGTCTAACATCCCAATTAGCCTTTTGTTTCGATGTCAATGCAAAAGAGGCAAACCCTTCTTTTTTTACTATTTTCAGCCATTCATTTCGAGTGCAAGCTGTGAGCATAAAAAATTGTAAGGATTTTTTCTCCTGTCGGTCACGCCTTTTAAGGATCACAATTGCCTTTTGTGCACCGCCTCCTGTCAATGACTAAACGTATGGCTGTACAGAAAAAGAAGGAAAGAAATCTGATGGCCTTTTAACAACTAGAACTTGAGTTGAAAAACAAGGGATTTCCCTTTACTTGTGAGTGTGTTGTGGACTAATGGGCAGTTCCAAAAAATTTCTTTAACTGAAGGATTTTACTTTAAACTTTCCAATAAATATGTGTAAGTAAATCGTTTGGAACTGAATGTATAAGCAATAAATCAACACATATTTATTGGGAAGTTTAAAGTGATATCTTTTAGTCAAGGCACTTCGAATAAATTTGACAATTTTTGGTTTCAAATTCTTCATTTAATATTTATCGACCCTTTTTTTAATTTTATTTTTCTTTTACCAAAACTAGCTCTTTATGGTCTCATTAATCATTATCGATTTTAAATATTTTAATTTTTTGCTACTTTTTAATTACATTATTTGGTTTCTGCAAAATATAAAACCTATCAGTTTGTACTTTTTTTGCATAGGCATCTTAAACATATTTTAGATATATTTCAGATACATGTGCGCCTCTTCATGTTGCGCACCATTAGTCTGAATCCCAGGGCCACATAAATCAAGCAAATTGTTTAACGCGCGATTAGCAAAATTGTGTTATAATAATTCTTATTTTATTTCGGCAGTTCTGTTCCATTTTGCTGCTTACACGTTTTTGGCATTTGCATGTTTCTGTGGCTGCTGCTACTTAGCGGAAACATGCAGTACATGTATCTGTTGGATCATTTATTTATTATGCTTGTCGTCTGGTGGTCTCTGCCTCATTGTTTCGTGGCCCCACCCACTGCCACGCCCCCGCCCCCTTAACCTTGCGATGGGCTCTTTGTCTGGCATGTATTTTGAATGGCCTGTTGAAATTTTCCAAGCGATTTGCAGCATACGCCGCATTGAATGTTTTCTTCACACCCCTCCTCTTTTATTATTACTTTTGTTGTGTTCTTTGCCGATTTCTGTTGTTGTTTATTCACGCTCAAAATGCTGTGGAAAATGATTATTATGATTAATAAATAAATATGCTGGCAGCTCTCAGAACAGTATTCAACACATTTTATTCAAACAGCTCGAAAAGTTCGACCCGCCCATTCTACTTTTTCCTTCTTGTTTTTCAATTTCATAGCAAAGTTTATAACGTAAGCGTTTAATATTAAGTTGCGTATACGCAATGTGTTACCAACACTTGAGTACGATGGGTTGAAATAAAGGAATTTGTGGATAGACTTTTAAATATATAAATAAAGATTTTATCTTAATCTTAGATTTTGTGATTATTGGTACTTAAATGTACATCATTTACGACAAGGAACCTTAAGACCTTTAAAAACGTTGGTGTTATTATTTTCCTGGTAAATTAATTTAGTGCCTGAACGGATGTGGCATACGAATCAAAGAATTTGTTAGGAAACCAAAATATAGGGATATTTTTTCTGATAATAAAGTTAATCACATTACTTTCGCCAAATTTCACAATTATGTAGCGATTTTCCTAGTTCCTCATTAGCAAAGTTGCTAACTTTGGTAATCATCTTTTACCTCTCGACTCAGATATCCTGCCATTGTATAGCAATAATTTTGCCAACCAGCCTAGAATCATGGGCCAACAGCTGCGCCAGATGGCTTAAAAGGACGAAAAGGATACGAGGAGGGCCAAAAGGGAAGCCATCAGCTTGTCTGTAATGAATTATCGCCAGCCAGATGAACATTTAATGATGTACAATGACATCGATGACGTTGTCGCTGGCAATTTTAATAAATTTAACAGTCGAACGCACGAGACTTGGGTGGCGCATCCTTCATCTTTTATCGCTGGGGGAAAACAATCCTGCCCTAGCGGCAATTAAATAAATGTCCTTAACCCCTGACGTCACTGACAGCCATCAGCCATCAACCATCCGCCATCAGCGTGGAATTTATGAGGCCGGTCCCCGCCTGTGATTTATCGGCCCATTGCACAAACTTACCGATAATTCGAGTTGAGCTGCACATCGCCAATGGCCACGTTCTCGAACAATGTGGGGCAGCAGGTCCATCGCGCCCAGTAGAAGGTGAAATCGGTTGAGTCGTAATGCTCGGTGAAGCGGCACTTGAGCACCAGATCGACGCCCTCACGCGTGTCCAGCGAATCGTCCCCGGAGATCAGGCCAATCGAGAGCCAAAGGTGACCTGCAGTGACACAGAAAGGCACACACATTTGATTACACAAGCGAAAATTGCAGACAAGATGTTTCTTTATTTATTAAACCACCCACTTCGGCTTGCCGAAGTTTGCTTACTTTCTTGTTATTTAAAACATTCAAATTTGCACTGGCATTTTGCATTATAGCAAAATCTGAGTATGCCACAACATATCAACTTATATCCTTTCCCACATTGCTTGTCCAATAAATTGTTAAAAAGATGACCAGTTGATTCTCACAGTTTATGGTACGAACATCCACATTTGTTTCCGGGTAACTGGCAGCGGCTATTCAATTACCTTGTGCAAATTTTAGCCCGCGTACATTTAATTAAGAGAGAACCCGACGAAATCCAACACAAATTCATATAACAACATTGATATATCCCCGCTGCTAAACTGATTTGATTAATTTTTTTTTTACTATTATGTATGTAGCAGAGCAAAAACGAAAATCAATACCATCAGAGAAGCAGCACCAAAAATAAAGAATCAAGAATGTACAAAAAAAATAAGAGTGGTATTGTAGAAACTCGTGGAAATTGTAAATCTATACCACAAAAATGAATAATTCACATGCCGCGCCAACCATAACACAATGGCCATCCAACCACTGCATCCAAATTGGTTTGCGTTCCAGAAAAGAATTTCCACACGAATTGGGGGATTATTGGCCCGTAAAGTTGGCTAGAATTTTATTTTGTATTTATTTGGTATTAGACATTTTTTTGATGGATTTTTTAATTCAAAACGTTTAAATATAAGCTTTAATAGTTATTTTTGTGGAAATAGGCCTATTGAAATAAGATTAAATAAATCAGTCATTGCAACTAAGGCTATATAAAAAATATAATTTGATATATTTCTAATTAAAACAGTGCATATATTTGGATGTATTTCAAGTGTCCATGAAAAAACTACTTATTATGGCTTCCACATCATTAGGCTCGATTTTTATTTGGTATTAATGTTTCTCCAAAATTATGGAAACACTTTGAGAGAGCTCAATTCACCGGAAGTAATCAAAATGAAATTTTTTGCCTGGATGCTGTAACTATAAATAAATGCAAGCTGCAATTGAAGAATTTTTTAGTGATCATTAAATAAAATTTTACATGCGTATTTCCGTGTTTCTTATCAACTTAAAAGTATTTGTGCATAATTTCTGCTGAAAGATCAAGCAAATAAGTTTTCCGGAAACGATTCCAATCAAATTTCGCCTGCTGCAATTCCTTGTTCTTTTCTTTTTGTGTTTTTGGTGTTGCGGGAAATGAAACTTTGAAGCTTTTGTGGTCGCTTTACAGTTTTAGCAGCACTGGTCAAATAAAACTAAGCACGTAGTTTAGTTTGGGGTGTTTTTCTCTTTTTATTTTTTTCGAGTGTGTATTCAGCTAAATGGAGCAAATGGTCGAGTGGACGCCATTGGGTCGAGTGGTGGGTGGAAAAGGGGGGTGGAAAAGTGGGTGGGAAAATGCTGGGATGGGGCGGTTGTTTGCACATGCAGCGCTTAGTTTTAATTTGTCTGCCTGAATTTTAGTTTTTTGTGTATTCCTGCTTTTTATATTCTCCGCTTTCCTTGTTTTTCCACTCCGCTCAATTTTCATGTATTTTGTTCGTAGCAAATCTGTTTTCGTGCAATCTGCCCATCTATAGATGTATGTTTGTGCAAAATTTTTACTCTCCATTGTAACGCAGGGTTTTTTTATAAAGCTATATTTTAAAAGAAGCAACAGCTTTATTGTGTTGGAATTTTTGCTATATAAAACGCATAGTACAAAATACAAACAACTCAATGCAATGCGGCTACTTTTTCGAATGCTTCCATCACTTAAATGTATGCTATTTTTTTCGCCAGCTGCTGGTTCATTTTCTTCCGAATTTCCTTTTTTAGTTCGATCATGTATAAACTTTGCCACACACCAGCTTACTGTTATTGTAATTAACGGTTGGCTATACAAAAAATATTTGAAATATTCACGAAAACCAAGCTGCAGGCATTTATTTACTTTAACCTGGTGTTTTTTTTTAGAAAATACCTTTCTGATATGTTTGTATACGCTTGAAACGTCAGTTTTATTGTGGGGATTATGTTATTGAGGTTATTTAGGATGATTTAATGCTGAAATATCAAAAGATTAAAGTACAAAATATTAATTTCCAAATTTAATACAGAGGTCAATAAGTTTTTTATCCAAGTTCATTTTAGCCTAATTGTTTTAAATAAGTTTCTGTAAAAATTTCGTAAATACATTTATTTTTAACAATAATTAACTAATTTCGAACCAATAAGAGTCAAAATTATTTATGTTATGGTATTTCCTGAAACTAACAGACATTGCAAAAGAGATATTTTTCCACATTGTTGGCCTACAGATACGCACAATTTGCCCCCCAGCTTCTAATCAGTGAGATTTATACACCGGTATCAAATCAATTAGAGTTAAACTCCCAATTCGATCATTGCCGGTAATTTGAAAATTCAGCAAAATCAACAGAAAAGCGAGGAGTGAGCGGAAAAGCTGACTGGGAATCATGTTTAACATTTGCTTTGGCTACCGATTTTCATATTTCCATGCAAATAATTATGAATGAGCGTTGAGCTAAACCCTCGAGGGCCTGCAATTGCCATGACCACTGCCACTGCCGCCCCCTTTGTGCATACGAAAACATGAAATGCATATGCATATGCATATAGATTTCATTTGCTTTATATAAGTTGATTTCGAAACTGGGAGCGAGGGGGTGAAGTAAATTACCATGAGCAAGTCGAAAGAAAAACACAGTTTTTTGGCTAGAGCTCGAGGAAAAACTCACCATAAAACGTGTTGAAGTTTTTTCCCTCCCCCTTTTTTTGGCCTCAAGGCAGCCATGTATTTTGCAATTATTTAAACAAGCTTTTGCAATCTGATGGATTTTAAAATGTAAATTAACTCTGTTTGCATACGAAAGTTTTCACTCACAGTGGGAGAACTTATTCCGGCCCATATGTGAGTGTGTATTTTGTAATAATTAGCCATCATTAGAGTTTCGGTAAAGTTTTCCACCGTCTCACTTTCCAACTGGCTTTTTGAATTTTTCAATTGTTCGCTAGAGAACTGAGGACTGAAAACTTTATCTCCACTCAGTTCAGATGAGTTCAGCACGACTCGAAATGCTTAAACATTCATAAATGCAAGTGCACACTACACTCAACAAAAAATCTATAAAAAAATTTGTTATGTCATTGTCGTTTTTATATATTTTTTCTATTATTTTTAACGGTTCATAAAAATATCTTGTCAATTATCTTTTTATAGTGCAACCTAATTACGTGACTTATCCCCAACAGTTTGCCACAAATTTTTTTTCGATGATAAATAATTTTCAAAATAACATCCTTAAGGATCCATTTTCTTTCTCTGTTGGAATGAGAGAAAAATGAAGGCAGGGTTCGTTTGGGTTAAAAGATGCCAAAGCAAAAGTCAAGTCTGGCCAAATGCAACCCAAACAAACCAAAAGCAAACAACAAAAACTTTACACACACTCGTAAAAAAATGAAACTTTTTCACTTTACTGTGTTGTTGTTTTTTTTCCTAAGTTTTTTTTTTAGTTTTTGTGGCTATGGTTTTTTTGCATATGTTGAGTTGGACTTTGTTTGGGGTCGACGACGCGTCGTCTTCATAAACACAAATGAAATCAGAGGCCAAAGGAATGGGAATAAATATGGTGATTTTTTCGCATGAGGCGATTTAAAATGCTCTGAAGTTATACAAATTAATAATATAACTGAAACTTAACACAGCATTTTCCCAAGTTAAAACCATTAATGTAAGCTCACCATGAATACGATAGTGAAGTTTTTTTTCTTAGATTAAAGAGAAAAATTAAAATGGGAAAATTTGCATTAAAACCTTTAATTATTAGTAGTATTCAGCTTAAACTTGTATTTTGTATTCAAATTTGAGTCGAATTAATGGCCTTTATTGGAAGATATTACTCTGTTAGATGTTATATATTACTTTGAGTTTGAATATTATGCTCTTACGATTTCAGAGGCCATAATTAAGCGAAGTGTGTTGCACTTTGGCTACAACTTCCCTTGCAGCAATTGGAGTATCCTGCACTTCCTCTTCCCCTAGATTTCCCTCTCCATTGTTCGCATTTTCCTCACATTTTCCAAGCATGAAACATCCAACACTTGTACATCATTTTCTGGCGGTGTCTGCTTGGCTTGTTTGTAATTATTTATTTCACATAAAGTGTGGCAGACTCTGGTGCGTAGACAAGAATTATGGCATTTCGGGCATTGTGTGTGATGTCTGGAGTTTTTAAAACAGATTTCATGCTACGACGCCGACAGGATGAAAAGCGGGATGAGGTGGGAAAATGTTTTTTCCCGAGCAAAATGCAACTAATGTGTGTCCGTGTGTGTTACACTTAAAACAAGCTGTTTTCTTGGCTCGTTTACTTGTGGCTTTCCCTGGTTGTTGAGACAACCTCTGGATTTTCCCACACCCCTCTTCAATTTTCCCTGTCCAGCTTTTGCTTTTCTTTCAGCTTAATGCGAATTTCTGCTCTTAACATCAGCCATTGTTGTTTTTCTTGTGTGTTGTTTGTGTGTGTGTGGCATATAAATATAATATGTAGTCTCGCCTCCTGCCATTGTTGTTGTAAAATATATTACTTTTTAACCCCGGAGTTGCTGAAAACTTCCCCCTTCCCCATATTTTTACTCATAACAATTACAACAATAGCAATTGCTGCCTGAAAATCAACTATATGTATATGTGAAGATGTTCTTGGGTCAGTGGCGTAGTTTTGGTTTTGAAGGGGGCTTAACTTTTGTCCAACTTATTTGGTAGCTGGAAGGGCTTTGGGCTTAGGAACACTAAAGGAATTGCACTTATCACGGCCTCAGTGGCATTCTTTGAAGATTTCTGAGGTGCAATTTTCTAATGGCTTTGGAATTAAGGGGTTTCAGCGACCAAGATTTTTTGGTTTAATAAGA